ATGGCCTGGGAAAGCAGTGGAAAATGGCCCAAGTGCTTGGGCCACTGCACCCACGGAGGAGACCCAAAAGTAGCTTCTGGCTCCTGGCCCAACTCTGGACATTGCAGCCCTTTGGAGAGTGAACCAACTGGTGGAAGACCTCTCTCTCTCTGCCTCTACCTCTCTGTAACTCTGCCTTTCAGATGAATATTTTTTAAAAAAGAAATAAAAAAATATGAATGGGTCTTCAAGTAAAGAGATGGAACTACTAATTTTTAACCTTCCCACAAATAAAACTCCAGGAACAGGTGGCTTAACTTAATTACAGCCAACATCTAAAGACAAATCAATACCAATTCTTCACAAATCTTCCAAACATGGCAGAGGGAAAAAAACATTTCCCAGCTCATTGTATTACACTAATACCCCAAAAAAAGACAAAGATATCATAAGAAAAAATAAGTTCCTTATAAATGTAAACACTAAAATCCTCAATAAAATATCAGAAAACAAAATCGACCACTTATACATCATGACCAGGTGAAATGTTTCCTAGCAATGCGAAGTTGGGCTAACATTCAAAAGTAAATCATATCAATAAAATAAAAGATACATAAATGACCACTTAAGTACATGCATAAGAATAATTTGACAAAATCCAACACCCTTTCATGTTTAAAAAAAATCAAAACACAAGGAATAGAAAGTAACTTCCTCAACCTGACAAACCACATCTAGTAAAAACTCACAGCTAACATTATACTAGCTAGTGAAATAGTTAATGTTTTCCCCCTCTAAAATCACGACTGGGACAAGGATGTCTACTGTTAGTACTATTCAACATAGCACAGAACAATCAAGTCAGAGCAATTACAGAAGAAAATGAAATAAAGTGTAGCCAAATTGGAAAGGAAGAAGTAAAGATATCTCTATTTGCAGATGACATCTGAAGAAATAAGATAAAAAGCTATTAGAACTAATAAATGTTTTAACAAGGTTGCAGGATAAAAGATCAATATAGAAAATCCATTGAATTTCTCTACTATTACTGAATAATCCAAAATTGAAATTAAGAAAAAAATTACACTTATAATGACATCTATCAATCAATCAAAAGTGCAATATCCTTACTATAAAAATGCAAATAGAAAAAAAAATAATGAGAGAAAAATTTAAAAGCCTAAATAAAGAGAAGGGTATCCCATGTTCATGGATCAGAAAATCAAATATTGTTAAGATGGAAATATGCCTCAAATTGATCTACAGACTCAATGCATTCCTTAGGAAATTCCAGTTCCAAATATTGCAAAAATTTGCCAACTGGCCATGATTCTAAAATACATATGGAAATAGAAAAGACACAGAATACTCAAAAAAGGTTGAAATAGAAGAACAAATTTGGATAACTCACATTCTCCTGTTTCAAAACTTATAACAAAGCTAAAGTAGTCAGGACAGTGTGATAATGGAATAAGAACAGATACATTGGTCAGTGGGATACAACTGGGAATCCAGAATCTTCACTTGTCTAGTCAACTGATATTGGACAAAGGTGTCAAGATAATTCAAAAGGTAAAGAACAGTATTTTCAACAAACAGTTCTAAGACAGTTGAATACACACATATCAAAATGAAACAAAGAGGGACCCTTTTCTTATACCATAACTAAAAATGGATCATAGGCCCAATGTAAAAGTTAAAATTATAAAACTCTCAGAAGAAAGCATAACCATAATTCTTCATGATATGGGGTTAGGCAAGGCCTCCTTACACACAACACCAAAAGAAAAGCAATCAAGGGAGAACAAAATCAGATAAAATGAATTTCACCAAAACATGAAACTTTTGTGCTTCAAAGGACATCATCAGAAAAGTAAAAGACAATTTATGGGAGACAATACTTGCAAATTTTATATCTGATAAAGAACTTGCATTTGAATGTATAAATAATTATATAACTAGTAATAAGACAATGCAATTTTAAAATGGGCAAAAAATTGAATACACACTTAATCAAGGAAATAAATGGTAAATAAGCACATGAAAAGATGTTCAATATCATTACCAACCAGAAAAAAATGTAAATAAAAACTCTGAGATACCACTGGACAGCCGCTAGGAGAGCTTTAACAAAAAACACAGATAAGGGGCCGGTGCTGTGGTGCAGTGGATTAATGCCCTGGCCTGAGGTGCCAGCATCCCATATGGGTGCTGGTTTGAGACCCGGATGCTCCTCTTCCGATCCAGCTCTCTGCTATGGCCTGGGATAGCAATGGAGGATAGCCCAAGTCCTTGGGCTCCTGCACCCACATGGGAGACCCAGAAGAAGTTCCTGGCTCCTGGCTTTGGATCGGCGCAGCTCCGGCCATTGAGCCCAACTTGGGAGTGAACCAATGGATGGAAGACCTCTCTCCCTGTCTCTACCTCTCTCTGTAACTCTGTCTTTCAAATAAGTAAAAAATAAATCTTAAAAAAAAAAAAAGACAGATAAGAACAAGTGTTTGTGAAGATGTGGAGAAATCAGAATCCTCATACACTGCTGGTGGAAATGTAAAATGATGCAGCCACGTTGGAAAACAGGTTGATAGTGATTCAACGTGTTTAACATAAAGTTACCATGTGATCTAGCAATTTTTAGAGATTTTCCCAAAAAAATTAAATATGTATCAGACAAAAATGTACACAAGAATGTTTATAGCCACATTATTCTTAAGAGCCTGAAGGTAGAAACAACCCAAGGTCTGTCAACTGACAAATGGATGAACAAAACGTAAGGAGGAGGATAGAGAGGGTGGATATTGGGTCCCGAAATGCAGCTGGGGGAGGGAGGGGAGCAGTTCTGACGTCCTATAGCAGGCAACAGCAATTAGTCACGTTTCACAGAAACCGCAGGGAAGACTCTGAAGGTCCCAACCCAGCAAAATAATATTTCAAGAGATGGAAATGTTAATATTCAGATTTTTTTAAAGATTTATTTTATTTATTTGAAAGGCAGAGTGACAGAGAAGGAGAAACAGAGACAAGGAGAAAAAAATAGATCTTCCACCCATTGGTTCACTCCCTAAATAGCCACAGTCGCCAAGGCTGGGCCAGGCTGAATACAAGAGCCTGGAATTCCATCCAGGTTTCCCTCCTGGGTGGTGGGGACCCAAGTACTTGGGCCATCTTTCACTGCTCTCCCAGGTGCATTATATGGGAGCTGGATAGGAGCAGAACAGCTGGGACTGTAACTGGCGCTCTGATATGGGATGCCAGCACCACAGGCAGTTGCTTATCCCACCACACCACAATACTGGCCCCCAGTTACCCCGAGTTGATCATCACACATGGTGTGCATGCATCAAATTACAATACGGTACCCTGTAAATAAGTACAAATGTTATATGTCAATTCAAAACAAAAATTAAAAATGCAGTATATCCACACAATGGAACATTATTTGACCACATAAAGGAAGGAAATGCTGATTTAAGCTACAACATGGATGAATCTAGAAAATGCTACACTCAGTGAAAGAAACCAGTCAGGAGTACCGTACATTATACGATTCCACTCACATAAAGTATGCAGAGCAGGAAAAGCTAGAGACAGAAAGTGAGACAGTGATTGCTGAGGGCTGGAGGCGGAGGCTGAAGGGGTTGGATGGTAGCTAAAGGGTGCAGGATCTCCTTTTGAGGTGATGAACGTCCTAAAATTGACTGTGATAATGGTTGCACATATCCACGAACACACTAAAACCCACTGAGTTTTATGCAATAAAGGAATGAAACCTAAGATATATTAAATATATCTCAATAGAGCTATTTTTAAATAATGAATAAACCTGATATTAAAAGATTAAATAAAAAACAGTATGTTAACCACACATACTGTTAAAAATTTAAGAACAAAAGTAATTAATAAAAAATCCACCTTGCTAAACATTCAAATAAATTCAGAAAATACATGAGCAAAGAAAATATAGATTAGTAAAAGAAATATACATAGCAGTTATAATATAAAATAATATGACAGAGACCATTCGTAATAATGGGTGGACTTAGGGCCAGCAGTGCAGCATAGAAGGTTAAGCCTCCATCTGCAAAGCTAGCATCCCATATGGCCACCGGTTCAAGTCCCAGCAGCTCCACTTCTGATCCAGCTCCCTGCTAATGCACCTAGGAAAGCAGCACATGATGGCTCAAGTGCTTGGGCCCCTGTATCCACATAGGAGTTCAGAACAAGCTCCTGGCTCCTGGCTTCAGTCTGGTCCAGTCCCAGCCATTGTAACCATTTGGGGAGTGAACAAGCAGATGGAAGATTCATTCTCTCTCTCTCTCTCTCTCTCTCTCCCTCTCTCCCTCTCTCCCTCTCTCCCTTCCCCTCTCTCTTTGTATCTCTGAGTTTCAAATAAATAAATTTTTAAAAAAAGAGTGGACTTAACACATTTTGAAATGTTGATTAATTTAAAGACAGATTTTATTTTTCCCAGTTGGGTTCACAAAGCAAGACTCAAGTAGATGCTCTATATTCAATGGATGTGCACATTGCTTTTTGTGGTTTTTTTTTTTTAAGTTTTACTTTATTTATTTGAAAGGGAGAGAGAGAGAGAGAGAGAGATCTTCCATCCGCTGGTCCACTACCCAAATGACTGCAACTACCGGGCCTGGGTCAGGTGGAAGCCAGGAGCCAGGAGCTTCATCCTGGTCTCCCACATAGGTGCAGGGGCCCAAGCACTTGGGCCATCCCCTGCCGCTTTCCCAGGAGCATTAGCAGGGAGCTAGATCAGAAGTGGGGCAAGCCAGGACTCACATACTCATATGGGATGCCTGCATTGAAGGCAGCAGCTTTAACCCACTACACCCCAACACTGGCCCAAGAGATACATTTTGTATCATCATGTCTGTGTGTGTGCGCACGCGTGCACACATGCATGTGTATGAGTGTGTGTGTAGAGTTACATACACACCAACCCAAAGATACTCATTCACTAGAGATTCCAAGACCCCAGTGAACACCCAAAATTGTAAAGAATGCCACACCTTGTTGCTCCCCGTCTTCGTGGAGGAACGACACAGGACCCTGCGTTGTTCTTTCGTCTGCTCGGCCCTTCCCGGGTTTGCTGCTGGTTCTTCCCGGGTTGGCTACCGTCCCTTCCACCTCCGTGGAAGGGCGGTTCCCCCTGCCACTTTCCCCACTTCCGCGGGGGAGCGGCACACCGCCGGCCGGCTCTCTCGGGGGCTGCTCAGGTGTTCCTTCAGAGAGATGTTCCTGGTGCATGTTGTCTCTCTCCTCCTTTATAGTCCTCTTCCACCAATCCCAACTCTGCTACCCACACGCCGAGTACGCTGCTCTCCTCCAATCAGGAGCAGGTCCTGCTGTTTATTGGTTGAACTGGAGGCAGCTGTGTAGAAGCTATTTCCTCCTCTCCCAGCGCCATATTGTGGGAGAGCAGATGCATAGAATAAGTCTTAATTCCAGTAACAGTGTAGTCCGAGTTGCTCCCAGTTGCTCCCCACAACACCTTATATCTTATTTTGTTCCTATACGTACATATCTATAATAATAATCTAATTTATAGATTAGGCATAATAATAAGAGATGAACAACAATGACCAATAATAAAATAGAACAACTGTGACAATGCTGAATAAAATTGCCAACTTTGCTACTCCTGCACTCAGGGCCACTATGAAGGATTACCTGAACTCAAGCCTTGCAGTGGTCAGACAGTCGGTCTGGTAACCAAGTGTCCACTAAGTGACTAAGGAGCAGGCAGCATGTAGGCGTGATCCACATCTGGCAGGGACACAGCTGGAAGACTTGAGATTATGTCATGTTTCTCAGAGTGGCACACAATTTAAAGCTCAGGAGTTGCTTATTTCTGATTTTTTTCCATTTAATTTTTTCACGCCATAGTTGATCCTAGGTAACTGCAACACAGAAAGAGAACCAAAGATAGGGAAGGACTCTGTGTAAAGACTCATGCAGCAATATTTACCTTCACTTTGCCATGTATTTGTATTTTCTATTCACTCCTTTTCATTGTATGTTTTTTGTTTTATTTGAAAGGCAGAAAGACAAAGAGAGATTTTCAATCTACTGGTTCACTTCTCAAATGCTTACAACAGCCAGGGATGGGCCAGGCTGAAACCAGGAGCCCAGAACTCCACCGAGGTCTCCCATGTGGGTGGCAAGGATTCAAGCACTCGGGCCATCACCTTCTGTCTCCCAAGGTGCACACTGAAAGGAAGCCGGGTCAGAAGTGGACTTGGAACTCAGACTCAGGCACTCTGCTATAGGACACAGGTGTCCCAAACAGCGATTTAACCCCGTGCCAAATGCCATCCTTTTTCAAAAAATGCTATCCATGAGACTTTAAACTGAATCCTGGCCCACCAGCAGAGGACAGTCTGCAGGTTGAAAAATACTGTGTTTAGTGGTAACTACTTTTTCTCTCTTTAAAAATTTCCTTGGTTTTGTAAGTAAAAAAAAATATTTATTTCAAAAGTGACTCCTCTTTGTTCCATGTTACTGGTCTGCTACAGTTTTTCTAGGGACTCCATACTTTGGTTTAGTGGGGTCTCCTAATTCTGAGTGGAAGAGGTGGCTAGAGAGGCTAGAACAGCGCTGAGCTGCACGGGGGAGGAGGCGGAGCCTGCAGCAGGTGTTTCCCACTGACAATCAAAAGTACTCAGACGCCTGGAAACCTGCATGCAAAGGCAGCTGCTCGAGGAAAACCAAATCCTTGGTCACTTATTCATCTCCCTGTCTATGATTCCTGCAGAATTCGAAAGTGCTTCAAAAAGTTTGTGGAAAATAAAATTAATAATGTTTATTTTAGTGCAAAAAACGCTGAAATACAAGCACAAGGGCAGCCTCCAAAAAACTCACAGAAAACATACATTATGAAAAATAAAAAAAAAAAAAACTATGCATGGACCTCAACATTTTTTGTACCAAAATAAATTTACCTTTTAATTTTATTTTTCACAAACTTTTTGAAGTCCCTTTGTACATGCACACTCCCAAAAGAGTCTACTGTAGGTGGAATTTAGGAACAAGAGAAATGACTGAGAAAAGCAAATCTGTGATGCGATCACATATTCTTTTGGACGCATTCAGTAGCACACAGAAGGAAATATACACATACATGGGCACTTCATAAAAGTTCTTTAGTGAATTAGACAAGAATCTCCGTAGTAAACTAAAGCGATTGAGGACAGAATAAACAAGGACCCAGCAGCTCAAACATTTCCCTTTCCCATTTTCCTTAACTGGCACATGACAGCGGTGCACATTTATGGGGTAGAGTGTGACATTTCAAGACAGTGTACAATGTGTAATATCCCTTTACTTGCATTTAGAATAAAAATGTTAGGTACAAAAAGAATATTCTGTAGATAAATACAATAGAACAAGTAAGCTACAGTTTCACTCCTCCACAGCTTCCAGTATCCACAAAGTCATTTTTCTGAACACAATGTATTTTATGAATAAACCTCTACACTTTCAAAATTGAGTTTTCTCTTTTTGAAGTCCAGCTTCAAGCAACTACAAGTTTCTATCCTGCTAACCCCAGGCAGCAGTTGCTTTTAACTTCTATCTTTTATTTAAAAAACTTAATTGGAAGTTTTTGTAGCCAGAAGGAGCACTTCAAAGAAAGAAAAAAATGCCAAAAATTAATACTTTATGTCAGAGGTTAGCAGGGAAGGAAACAAAGATTACAGAAACGAGGGGTTAATGGTATATAAGCAAGCAGTGGAAGAAGGAAGGAAGGCAGGAAATGAACTGAAGACGGAAGGGGAATGGGATGCCCCATGCATTAAAAACAACACGTGGCCACTTTCCTTACTCCAGTGTGGGAAAGACAACACGGGGCTTACGGCAGTGCTTGTGATTCCTCGCTTAGCCCCAAAGGGCCTGCACACGAGGCCTTTCCCCCTCAGCCTATAGTTACTCATGGAGGGACCATGGCTCTTCCCAGACATTCCTGTTGCTGTAGATTCTAAACCCAATGAGACAAAAGAGCATTCGAACTTCCAGCATGCTCAGGCCTCTTGAGGGGAAGGCAGTGGGAGAAGCAAGTCCCAGGCGGGGGGGTCAAGAGGCCAGGGTCCTTGCCGCAGCTTCTGTTACACTTGGAGCTGGGCCCTTCTCCTCCCTGGAGCTCACTGCGCCATGGTGAAGTGGGAGGGTTGGAGAGGTTCCTTCAAGCTCAAACTCCCTCTTTATGATTTGAGGCTCAAGTATCCACCATAACAACACTCACCAAGGATGCTGATACACAGGTACATGAGATGAACGCCTAACTCTTGCTCCTACAAGTTCTTAGAGAGGAGTAAATAATGGATCCTGCTAGTTCAAATGGGAGCATTTTCCACACTTGGCTGGTGGCAACCAGATTGAGAAACAAGATTCCAGATCAGAATAGCTATGACATAAAACTAAACACTCATGGGTCTCAGGTAGGCATGGCTTCTGAGGGGAGTTCTTGGAAAGAGGCAGCCATTTAGCCTAGCAGTTAAGACGTCCACATCTCATCCTGGAAAACTTGGGTTCAACCCCTGCTCCAGCTCGCTGCTGATGCAGACCCCGAGGCAGAGGTGAGGGCTCAGGTAGCTGGATTCCTACACAGGACACCTGGGTTACATTCCCTGCTCCCAGCCTTAGTCAGGCCCAGCCCCAGCTATTGTGGACATCTGAGAACTGAACCAACAGATGAACTCTCTTTCACTCTCTCTGCCTCTCAAATAAAAATAAATAATAAAAAGTAAAGTTTATTTTTATACAAAAAACTTTGGAATCCGCACATAAGCTTTGACATGATATACAATTCCTAAACTTTTTGATGATGCTGTCACATTTGGATTTCAAACATTTTTGCATCAAAATAAATTTTTTAAAGATTTATTTATTTATTTGAAAGAGTTACAAAGGGAGGTAGAGACAGAGAGAGAGGTCTTCCATCTGCTGGTTCACTCCCCAAATAGCCGCAATGGCTGGAGCTGCACTGATCTGAAGCCAGGAGCCAGGAGCTTCTTCCAGGTCTCCCACTTGGGTGCATGGGCCCAAGGGCTTGAGCCATCTTTGACTGCCTGCCCAGGCACATTACCAGGGAGTTAGATTGGAAGTAGAGCAGCCGGAACTCAAACCAGTACCCATATGGGATGCCAGTGCTTCAGGCGGCAGCTTTACCCACTAAGCCACAGTATCAGCCTCAGATAAATTTCTTTTAATTCTACATTCCACAGTTTTGTTTAAGTACCTTCATATCTAATGTTAAAAATCCTAAATGAAGGGGTGGTAGAGAGAGCGGGTTTGTGGCACAGCAGGTTAAGATCCTGCTCCCAAGGTTGGCATCCCTTATGAGCACTTCCTGGAGGCTTTGTTTCCGATCCAGCTCCCTGCTGATTCACCTGGGAAGGCAGCAGAAGACGGTTCAAATGCTTGGGCCCCTGCACCCACGTGGGAGACCTGATGGAGTTTCTAGCTCCTCACTCCAGGCTCCTGGCTTCAGCCTGGCCCAGCCCTACCTGCTTCAGCTGTCTGGGGAGAGAACCCAAGGATGGAAAGTACTCTCTCTTTCTCTGCCTCTCTCTTTCCTGCCTTCTCGGTCACTCTGCCTTTAAAAGAAATAAATATTTTTGAAAACAAAAACCATAGACCACAAGACAGAGAGCCAAATAGGACTGCTCAATACCGCACAGCCCTCTGCAGATGAAAGTGCCCGGCACACGTAAACCATGGGAGTAGGGATGGACACTTGGTCCTGAGGCAGCAAACTCAGGTGGACCAAGTCTCCTATGATGGAACCTGGAGCCAAGGGCCAAGCTAAGCCAATCAAGGTCCCTTGATGAACAATTTGAATGGGAACAAAGCAGACAGTGATGGGACAGGAAGGTTAAATGTCGTGATGAAGACAGAAGCCATGGAGGCTTTGATGGGCGTGTAGGAACAGGACGTATGCAGACCTGACCTGGTGAGGACCTCCCCACCCAACACACACACACACACACACACTACAAACACTGGCACAGGACAAATCGAGGCGGGGACGGCTCAGCAAATACTAGGAGTGAGCTGGAAGAACAGGGAATTCCTACATACCAGACAGAGCGGCAACTCAAACCAGAAACAATGAGGAATGTGAAGCCAAAAGAACTTGAAAGCTAAAAACATTAGATGAGATAAAGGCTCTCACCACATAATAATAAAAGATGTAATTTTAAATGTGTACACACCTAATTACATGGCTTATAACATAAAAAGTAAAAACTAAAGAATTACAAGGAGGAATTGGTGAACCCACTATCCTAGCAAGAGATGTTTAATGCCCTTTAGCAACTGACAATCAACGGAACAAAAATTAAGATCTAGAAAAGATATTAGAACCACAAACTTGATCTAAAAAACCAGCAACTAAAAAATATAGACTCTTCATTCACATGAAGCATTTGTAAAAACTGACCAGGGTGCCAGCGCTGTGGTGTACTGAGCTAAGCCACCGCCTGCAGCACCGGCATCCCATAGGGACGCCAGTTCAAGACCCAGTTGCTACACTTCCAATCCAACTCCCTGCTAATGTTCCTAGGAAAGCAGCAGAAGATAGCCGACATTCCTGGGCCCCTGCACCCACATGGGAGATGCAGAAGAAGCTCCTGGCTCCTGGCTTTGGACTGGCCCATCTGCAGCCATCGCGGGTGTTTGGGGAATGAACCAGTGGATGAAAGACCTCTCTCTCTTGCTCGCTCTCTGCCTCTGCTTCTCCTTCTCTGTAACTCAGCCCTTCAAGTTAAATAAATAAATATTTTTTTAAAAAACTGACCACTCAAGATATATAGCAAATCATAACAAATTTTAAACGCTCCAAAGCATACAGGCCTTCTTTCTATCAACATGTAATGAAGGTAGAAATCAATAAGAAAAAATA